TCGGAACAGGGCCACACCTGGCCCAGGACTGTCAGCCCCTGGCCAAATGAACAAATCTCTAATAACTGTAATTACAGGCATAAAACTACCATCTGTAAAAATTGTCTGGTTTGGCCTTTTATAAAGTAGGTACTACGACACTGCAAAACTTAATGTCTTTGCTGTTTCAGCAATATAATACTAAAGGCTTGACATTATGCTTCAGCCTGATTTGTGCTTAATATGGTGAGAAACAGCAAGATTTTAGCATTTGCCAGTTTTCAGTTTTAACAGCTTTAGTTTTCTAGACTCAAGATTGATAACACTTGTCTTTCAAAAGATTATTAAAACACTTTTCTCTTCCATGGAACTTATACCCAAACTTTTCTGGCCTGCTGTACTCAGAAAACATAAGATAGAAACCCACAAGGCATTTTCAGCCAACACACGGTGGGAATCCATTAATGGGCTTTTCTCTCATCTAATCCAGAAACTCTCACATACACAGCCCAGTATTTCAGAACTTATTTTTGCTTCTGGTGTCATGCCCCTGGATAATGAACAGGCAAATCACTGTTACAATGAAAACTTGTCTTTTCCCTTTGAGGGTGAACTTTGGCAGCTTGCAGCACAGAACAAGGAAGCACAGGAACTTACAGCCAGAATTTTAAAGAGGTTCCTTTTGTATATAATGAAATTCTGTGCACATCTGTACAGCTTTTTTTGAGACAGAGGCATGTTTACAGCAGAAGCAATGGATCTGGAGTACAGATCCAGCCCAAGCTGCTACACTGCATGAAGAAGCAGAACTTTGCTTGTACCAGGCTGCTGCTGCCATTTTTTCAGTATTTGTAGACTGATTCACTCTTTCTACAGTCGGGATGAGATTTAGCCTTCAACAACTACTTCATGTCTGTATGTCAGGCCAGCTTGTGAGTCTCACAAGTAAGAGGGCATTTTCAATCATCAATTCCACAGTCTCAGAAAACCATGCAGCATTACAACAAAGCAAGCCTGGAGAACAAGGGCTTTTTACATTTTTCAAGATAAAACCAACAGTCCTCTATCCAAGTCACATTGTTCATTCTATGTTGTAATAGGCTCATATTCCCCTTACAGCTTACTCAGTGTGCAAAATCACTTTTTAATGCATCTCTCACCAGATTTGAAGAATATCACCGACCAATTCAGCTTTTGTCATTCAGGACACTAATTTTCAGAGTTCACTTACTTGATCTGTTAGTCCTGTAGTTCATTTTACTAAGCTATGGCACGTTACAACATACCTAGATGGACAACTTTAGCAGCTAAGCCAGTACCCAATTATTCACTGCTCTGAACAGAATCCCTCTATCTCTATCATGAATCATTAGTTGTCATAGGGTATTATCTGTTCAAGTTTTCACATGCAGATATGTAACACAAGACAGACAATCAAGATTGTGCTTGGCATAAACTAGTTCCAGACACACATTAACCCCCAAAGAACACCTAAACCTCCAGCCTATTCTGTGATGAACTCACACAGTATTTCACTTGTCCTGAGGCATCTCCTCCCTGATTTGAAAGTGTCACTATTGAATCCCAAGCTTACAAACAAACAATGGCTGTTCAGGGGAAAAAAACCAAAACCAAAAACTGAAAAATCCAGACATGGGGCACTCAAGAACATCAGAAACCAGCCCATTTCTCACTGCTTTAAGTTATTTAGGATTTATCCACCTGAATTTTCCTGCAGTGAAGTGAAACTTTTGGGCCAGATCACTGGCTGCCCTATCACTGAAAGTGTCTGCCTACGAAATGACAAGGTCACCTTGGTCAGCTCTAAAGATAAACATCCCCATGGTGCACAAACAGATTATTATTATTAGAATCAAATTGTTAATCAAGCATTCTTGCAAATCCATTTTTTCATGATCACATGAACTCACTATACTCAACATAACCGGCCATAAGACCATTTCCAAGTTGATTTTCCTTGACGTTCCCAGGCAGTGCCAGCTGCAGATGACAGTTCCCTACTTCGCCCACTAAACTACAAAGAGGGGATTTTCTGCATCCCAATCACTTCTAGTAAGCACAGGAAGATGTGGTTTTCTGCAGCAGTATTGCTACATTAGGGAAAAAATATGTTTTCTTCCACTGCCCCTGAACTTCCACTGCTTTATGAGACTGAAATAATGGCTCATGCCAAAACCTAATTCAATAACAGAAAATTAAAATACAGACTACTTACAATGTAGCCACAAACATAAACTGTTTATCATTTAACTACATATAATTTGGAGGTAACAGAACATCTGCTGATTATTCTGTGAAGATGCTTCATACCCTCCATACTTCCCCCAAATCTTTCATGTGTGGGCTAACCTAAAAAAAAAAATAAATCTGAAAGACATCAGACTATCTGAAGGATAATATATTTGCAAGACATACAAGGAAGATATGTGCCCATCCTTTTCTCCTTGTAAATCCTAGAGCATAGATGATCATGAAGTGTTCCAGCATTTCCAATAATACACGGGTGACTCTGTACCTCAGAACAGACTGCTCAATAACCACTTCCCAATTTATACAATCCAAGGATTTAGTCTCATAGAGTTAAGGCTTATCTTACCTTATCAAGTGATTCGTTTCATCGAATTTGAGATACCTACCCATGTGAATTGGATTTTCTGCTGTGAATAGGTACTTAGTAATAGGTGTCTATTAAGATATTAGGAACATTAATTATAGAGGAATAATCAGTGGAAAAAGATTACCAAGTAGAATTAGCAACACTTTCATAAAGCCAGTGAGGATATTTTTCCTATATTTACAGAAGTGGCTGCATTTGAGTCAATTCACTGACAATGCCCATTAATTTTCACTACCTTGTTAAATGAGAATTTTATTGAACTACAGCATATAAAGTTATTTTACGAAATTACCAATGAAAACAGCATTAGTCATTTACCAGACTTGGTCACATTCAATAGAAAAGTTGCTGTCAGAAACCTACTGTGCGTCTCAAGGAGGAGGCAACAGACATTAGCTTTTTGAGATCATATTTGAAGAAGAACCCGTAGAAAGAAATAGACCCCCAAAAAAGAGGAAAAGCCATCCAAAGCTTTCAGGGAAGAAAGAAGTACGATGCTCTTGCCCGCCCGGGGATCTGCTCGCCCCCGGCCGCTTCTGCACCCACGTGGAGCCGCGGGCTGGCACCGAGCGATGCCCAGGGGTAACGCCGGTCACCGAAAAAGCCGCTTCTCGCCCTTTCCTCTCTGGGCCAGGGGCAGGGAGGATGAAGGCTGTTACCCAGCAGGAGGAATGAGAAGATCCACTGCAGCACGGCGACTGTCTGGATCCTCCTCTTTAGAGGGATATTGATGGGGGCAAACTCGACCTTCATGCTGTCGGAGAGCAGCGCGGGAGGCG